TTGTGTTGTAGGCCTACTTTTGTGATTAAAGTAGGCTATTGGTCGTTAGCAGTGCACTGAGTCTGATGTGTTTATAATATAAGAGATTCATGGGAGAATACGATTGCATTTGTGAACGGGGCATTTAACAGGGACAGGCTCTTCAACAGCTTCTATCCCCAAGCAAAATATCTACCCGGACTATCTGAGTTAACCTTGTATCTTTATTGACCTTTTATTTTAATTGTTGCACTCTCTATGCACACTCACAGGGCCCTACACACTCACACACACTCACTCCATCATCTTCTCACTCACACATAATATGCACACACACTACACACACGCACACCCACTCACATACAAGCTGCTCCTACTCTGTTTATCTCATATCCTGTTGCCTAGTCACCTTACCCCTATACATATCTACCTCAATCACTCCAGTGTCCTTGCACATTGTAAATATGGTATTGGAACTGACCCTGTATATAGTATATTTACTTACTTACTTATTGTGATCTTCATATTTCTTCTTATTTTTCATGTTTATTTATTCTAGTATTACATTGTTATTGATTATTGCATTGTTGGGTTTTGAGTTTGCAAGAAAGGCATTTCACTGTACTTGTTCATGTGACATTAAAACTTGAAACTTAAAACTTGAAACTGAAACTAGACTGGGACCAGAAATCGGCCCAGGCATTTCTAACACACCAGACCATTTTTTCCTCAAGGACCCCACACCAGCCCATTCTTAGCAAAATAATGATATTTTGGCGCTTAAACCCTAATTTAGACAGGCCCACTGGGCTAAAGATGGACCAGCCCATTTGCCAAAATTGTCCTTTGGCCAGTAGACCTGGGTCCGTATCCATGAAGCATCTCAGTGTAGGAGTGCTGAACTAGGATAGGTCCCTATCTGTCCATATAATTGTAATCATTATGATCTACAAGACTAAATTGATCCTAGATCTGCATTCCTACTCTGAGACATTTGTGGATATGGGCCCTTCAAATACTATTTAGGGTATTTTAATTTCTTTCAAAGTCATTTGGAATTAATATTTTTTATTTGAAAACACAAGTAGTTAATTATTGGAATGTATTTGGATATACCCTTGGAAAGTATTGGCATGTATTTGAAAATACTCAAATACACAGTAATTATACAAATACTTAAATACTCCCATGCATTTGAACCAGGTTTGTTTGGTATTTAAAATAATGTATTTGAAATAGAAATAAGTATTTGAAAATACTTTCACATACACTGTACATCCAGTATGAGTAGTTGATTCGGGCCACATCATTTGAAAATACTCAGATACACAGAAAATAATTATTTTAATAACAAATAGACAAATACACATATTTGAACCCAGGTCTGATGGCTGTCTCTGCCGTTAAATGATAAAATCCCTGTGTAGGAGCTGGCTGTCCCCCTTACACAAAAGGTGTTATGACTTAACTTAATGGTTGAGAAATTACTTAAAACAGCTGATTCAGGCAATTTAAAACATATTGGCAGCTATAAACCAGTGGTTCCCCTGGTTGTCTTTGGAAAGGGTCAACCCCTTTCAATCACAACATTTCTCCACTGACGCATAGCTGACGTTAGAAATCTGAAGTGTAGTCTACGTCTTATCCTTTGACCGATTGCTTTGTTGCAATCTACAGAGAGGCCACAATGTTCCTTTAAGATGAATTGGCGGAGGACACAAATGTAACACAAGTAAAAGCTGGGCTTTTTGGGAAATATTTTAATAGTTATTGAATGTTCTACATCGTACAGTAAGTATTATACAATTACAAACTTGCCTTACTTCTGTCACCAGGATCACTAACTGATCCTCATTAGAACGACATAAAAACAAAAACAGATTTACACTTCATATACACAAGTCTGATGTGGGTCTCTGCTTCACAAACGTCCCAGCTTATGTTACAAAAACATTCCGCCAGCGTTGCTGCAACCATGTGACAGAACGTTGCAAGAGCTGTTGGGGCCATTAGTTGGGAAGTGATTTTAATCTCAAGGTGCTGACTCTTTTAAACAATTTTTTGATTATTTTTTTGGGAAGACCCAAGAGTATACTTCACTCTCTCGAAATTAGTGTTCAAATCAAAGGTTGACAAGCCCGAAGTTCATCGTGACCAAAGAAAACAGACAAAGCATGGAGATAGTGTGTTCAACCTTGGTGGAGCTGCTTGCTTCTCGACCCCCGGGCACTGAGACACTCAGGGTCGCTCCCATAGCCTAGAATCCAAACTGAGTTTGTTACGTTGTATGGTTGTCACATAAAATGAAGTGAAACAACGGTGAAACGTAGTGAAAGCAGTTTCGATCCCAGGCTACAGCTCTCATGCTTCAGTCCGCAAACTGTGGACCCATATACTTTAGCATGTTTCAATAAACATACATTGTAGTGTAAGGACTTGACTCTGGGCTAACTTTCAGTCTATGCCCAGTTAGCACATTAGGTTCCCTGGATGTTCTGGGAACTTCGGTTTATGGTGTCAGTTTGGTTCTGGGAACATTCCTCTCCTGTTTCAATGCCCTGGGTCTTTGAGGGGAAAAGGCCAGCGTGTGGGGGGGACCTGTATGCCAGTCGCTTCTGACCGGATTGCCAGATTGTGTCCATCCGCACATCTGCTCCACTCATCCGACAGACTTGTGTTCTGAAATGCCTTCTGAAACCCCAAGAGGCAACCCACTTGAGCTTGACAATAAAGATCTTCTATCTTAAGAATAATAAACATCAATCAATCAACAAAACCTTAAATAACACTTATGGTAAAAAGCGCTTAAATTACATATCAGAAATGAAAAGTGTATCATTCTTTTCTTTTTTTTTTCCTCTTTTTTTTTCTTTTTAAACACTGCGGTTATACTCATAGTACGCATGGTTAAATTATTTTTGAGGTTTTTAACCTCCAAAGATTTAGCACTCAGCATAGTGTGCAACTAGTCATATGCATTGTTCAGTTCTTGAATCACATTACATGTTCTAATGAATAATTTTTCGATGGTCTTCCCTCTAATCGTCCCAAAAAATGTGGGACAATACATTTACTTTTGAGACTTGTTTTCAATGTTTTTCTTCTGTTTGGCTCTGTGATATGCTACTGACAGGGGAGAGTAGAGGTTAGGTGACGTTAGCTCTACACAGTCTGACCAGTGCCATGTTGGGAGGAAACACTTACACAGGACTGTATACATGCTTCACACATGCGCGTGCACACACACACGCGCACGCACGCACACACACAAACACACATGCACACACACACACACACACACACACATGGTAGACGAGGGGCTGATAGCACACTGCCCACTGATACCTTCCCTCATACAGTCAACACACACTCACTCATATACACATCTATACCTCGTTCACTAGTGAATGCTACTCTATCAATTGTCATATGTTGGGTGCAGAATGCCTCTCCTTTAAATCAATGTTTTATTTCCATTGGCGACGTAACACTGTGACAAATAAAATTGCATTTAGAATTTTACATAGTAGTTAACTGATTGTAACAGATTGAAATAAGCAGTAGCAATTATTCACAACAGATATTCTCTTAAATGTACAGTTGTTGTTTATTGAGACCAAAGAGTACCCTATCAAATGCACTGAACTAAATGAACTCTTAAGATGTCTCTTAAAAGATGAGCTAAGTACCTGTTATTTAGTATAGATTATTACTTTTAGATGTTTGTGCAATACATTTTTGACACACTCACATGATAACTCTGATATGTGGTCACGACACGGTAACCTAGTGCTGAACCATAATAACCTAGTATGGAACTCCTCCTCACAACCTTTAAACTCCACCCAAGCGGAACCCTGCTTCCTTGCCAACTCCAATTCTGAATTCCAAAAGAACTCTAGCCCCGCCTCCCTAGCCACTCCTGTGGTTGTAGGCGGACTGGGTCAATACACTGTAAGCATTACGGTAAAATCTTGCCTTCTGATTGGCTAGGTGGAAATGTTGGCCATATTGCTTTCACCTATCCCAATCCTCTCAGGTCTACAGGTGTAGGGGCTAGGGAGGGAGTAGAGGATAGGGAGTAGGGGTTATGGGTTGATTTGGAGTCAATTTTCTCCCAACTCAGTGCCCCTGTCAAAGGGTTTTTGGACCCCGACTAAAGGCACATGATTGAAACCTTTCTAAAAATGTTCCCAATTTCCTGTTTGAACACAAATTCTTCTTCTCATACCCATGATTCCCTTCACGATCCTAACTCCCTTCCATTGTGTCTGCTATTGGATGCCCTGGAAACAATGATGTCCTGAGCCTGTTCTAAAGTGTTTTAGAGCATTTCTACACCTGCCATTGTTTAGAAGCGTTCACAAGAAAGGTGAACTAGTGTCAATTGCATGGACTACTTAGTAACATACACATCGAGACCAGATGATGACACAATTCTCTGGATTGGAACACATCTCTGTTGAGGTCAGTCTGTCTTCTAAAACCTTGTTTGCGTCCCAAATGGCACTCAATTCCCTATATAGTGCGCTACTTTTGACCAGAGCCCTATATAGGAAGGGAATAGGGGCCCTTCTAAAACCCTGAGCCAACCAAGCAGTGCACCAAAGGCATCCGCATGCTTCCCATCCGAAACAGTTTGGAACAGTTCATGCATATATTATGACGACATTTGGTGGAGTTTTTGTTCGTTTTGGCCTTCGGCAGGTTATTTTTTTCAACTGTTCGTGCACACACATTTTTTCTCTCGAGGCAAGCCGAAGTTCGGCAGCCGAAGTTTACGCCCTTTCATCAGTGATTGGTCAACAGTTTGCAAAAACGTCAAAATTAATGACATATTTCTTAGATTAATTTGGACTATTTTGGCTATGGAGTCCCAAAATGGACAAACAGTACTATTGCCTATTTCTTCTAGTTTTTCAAGCGAAGGTAAGGTCGGAAGGTATGCGAGCACACTCGTTCGGTTCGATTAGGCGCCACCCGAACTGAAGCATGCGGAAGAAGCCTTAACTCTGCTGCCTGCCCCGCACCCCTCACTACTGCCCTCTACCGGTCACTTGAAGAACTAGTGACACTGATCAGGGCCATGTTCAGTTCAGGAGAAGACGTTTTGAAAAGGAGTAAAACAGGGAGGTACTACCTGAATCTGTCCAATAAGAACACCAATTTTCGTTTTCCATTGCAAAACGTTTTGCTCTGGCGTGCCTTGCTGAACACGACCCAGGTAAATGGTGCAGTTTAGGACCTAGATCTCTATTAAACATGTAAACATGACATCACATGGGATCTTTATTGCGAATAACACTCATCTCCAGTCTGTGAGATCAATGGGAGGCATGCAGCTCAAGGCTATGGGCATAGATGCTTGACCACTATACAATTTAGATGCTTTTTTCACTCACTACTCCCCTTGTATTCCTTTATCCCCCTCTCTTCTACTGACCTTAAATCCCTCTGAATCCTTCGATTTAGCAATCCCTGGTCCAACTGACAATTTGCCTCACCCCTCAAACTCCATGCACCTCAGTTGACACTAGATTAGAATTGGAATCAGTTCACAACATAGCCTGCAAGTTATGAGGGAGACCCTATCCAGCAATTTATCCATTGCATCCTATGCCATCTACACTTTTGCGTGTGTGTGTGTGATGTCCTATAAATCTGTATATGTATATGCGTACATGTGCCACTACTCATGCCAACTGAAATACCTAAATGTGAGTGTGTTTTCAAGTTTGGCGAGCTTTTACGTGTACAAAAGAACCACAAACACGCGCAGGCGCTCGCTCACACGTCAGTATTCCTATATATAATATATTCATGTATAGATATTTAAATTGCTTACTATACTTTAGTAGACGTAAAAGCTAATTATGTCCACTGAACTTACTGAAAATGTACTCTACATGGTGTGTAACTATTACGGTACTTACGGTATTAGTCTTTCTTCTACCACATGACTGATATACAGTGGGTATAATCTTAAGAAGCCAAGTTAATGCACTGTTGCTACAAGCTGGAAGACGACCCTTGTTATCTTGTGCTGGAAGATGGTTGTGTTTGAACATAAACCGAAATGGGAATGCAAATCAATAAGGTAGAAAGTAATCTAGGCGCGACACTCATACTGCGCTTTCCCCCAAATGTTTTTTGAAACATTTGAAAATTTGGCAGCATACAAAGACGTGTACATTCTCACGGCTGAAGGGACTGGCTTTGCGTCGGAACCAGTGTTCAGAACAGAAAAATACACACACACTCACACACAAAAGAAGAAGCACAAATGTACTATACATGTACTATACTGCTGGTCAGTGTGTGTCTGGATTATAAGAGAGTCAAAATAAAAAAACAAATCCAAAAAATCTGAGGCTGGTAAAAAATAATAAAAACATGAAAAAGCAGCTTTTCCAAATCACAAAAGAATGCATAGTGACCCTTGCACTTTAGTTTTTTGTTCTTGCTGACAGACTTGATGCTCGTATGCCAGACCTCCTGCACCAATGTAAGACTTGAGTTGTGAGCAATGTTTGACTCCCGATCTGAGGGGAAAGAGTGAGAGAGAGAGAGATGGAGAGGGGGAGAGCAGTAGAAGGATGGAGAGGGGAGGGAGAAGACAAATGGTATTATGTATTATATATGTAATTTACAAAGAAAATATCACATTTGTCCTATAAATTCTTTTTCCAAAACCAAGTGACAATAACTCAAAATTACAGTTGCTCATATATATATTTTTATAATAATAAAAAATCAACGCACTTACGTATCAAAGCACTGTCAATAGATCGGCCCTTAACTCTCCTAACCATAGACTGGGATAACATTGTGATAGGTTAAAACTGATCTAGGACCAGTAACTTACATGAGTGGGGCCCAGTGGGGTCTACCAGTGAGGAGGCACATAGCTGTACCCAGGCGTCCCCTGGGGCCGATAGGTTGGCACGGTGACCGGATGTCCACCAATGTGCTGAGTGGCGTGCTGAGGCGTGGTCAGCAGAGTACCTGGGCAAAGAGGGTCAATCAGACAGACAGAGGTCATCAGCATGGTAACACGGCCAGACTGTTGTCATCACCATGGAAACATGTCGGTGGCCAAACACATCTACTCCTTGAGAACTAATCGACCGAATACTGTTAGAAATGTGTTATAAACACAGCCTTTACTCCAAACAGAAACATCACTGTAAGTAATAGTTGTGTGAACAATTTGTTTGAGCTGTTGATAGGGTCACAAAATTCCAGTAACTTTACCAAAATGCTCAGGTTTTCCAAAAATCTTGGTTGTAGGATTCCCAGATTTCCTGGATATTCTATCCTGATTCCACAAATCTTCCAACCGGGATTTCTGGAAAACCTGGGAATTTTGCAACCCTAGTAGTTTAGTTTTGACTTCTTACCAGCAGACATGGCCATGGTTGTGCCAGCCACCATGCCCATGGCCATATGGCCGTTGGAGCGGGGCTGTTGGACAGGGGCAGGGTAGAGGGCGGATGGGATGCTGTTGGGCTGCACCACTGTGGTGTGGTGTATGACGTGGGGCTGAGCTGCATACATCGGCTGTGTATAGTACGCACCCTGAGAGGAATAGAAGAAAAGATAAGTGATTTTTGGAATGCTTTGGCAATATTCAATATTGAAAAATTTAGAATTGGCTTTTCTTACTTTTCTAGCACAGCTAATTTTACTCAGCAAGCTAACTGTCTTCTAACAATCAAAAAACAAGTAGAGAGAGGTCATCAATCACATCTTATAAGTAGGTAGGTGATATTGTCAAACAGACAGCCAACCCCAGTGAGTAAAAGCCAGGCCAGGTCCTTACCTGAGTGTAGAGGTTCTGTTGGGGATAGGCACTTCTGATGGGGTACATGGCCGCCTGGTAGGGGTTAGGGGACGGGGAGTAGGGAGGGGGCGCCCCATTGGACTGACCAGGGGGGACCTTGTAGGGTGTCCCAGCAGTGTATCCTAGATGAGAGAGAGAGATAGAGAGAGGGAAGGATGGAAAGAGAGAAAGAAAGAAAGTGAAAGTCAGGGAGAAAAAAGCAAGAGAGAGAGAGAGAGTAAGAGAGAGATCAAGACGGGAGAGGGAAAGATGGAGAAAGAGAAAGCAAAAGAGAGGGAGGCAGAAAGAAAGAGAACATGCGGTGAGCGAGACCTAGTTTCAGTTTCCAGATCAGTTTTAATTGTCTTGAGATTCAGAGTGTGTCATTGGAGGAGGAGAACACTGAGGATTGACTGAATAACAGTGCTCCTTTACAAAATACATGTAGCCTCCAAGATATATATATAGTTTCCACAGAGCTTTGGACAGATATGAAGCAGAACCAGCTGTATTATGAATGCCCAAAGAGAGGCCATGGGCTTGTTCGACATTGCAGCCGACGTGATGCATTTTGGGTAAATTGTGACTGACTGATCTACAAATAATAATAAGTAGTTATATTTGATGCAAGGTAATTTGTAGATCAGTCAGTCGACAGTCGGCTGCAATCGTGAACAAGCCCTGTTAAAACTACACAGAGAATGTGAACATTCTTTTTTTATACTCAAACACTCAAGCACACACAGCCAGGCACACACAGACACACACACACACACACACACACACACAGACACACACACACACACACACACACACACACACACACACACACACACACACACACAGAGAAGTGTCTGTTCTGGTGGGTTTTAGAGGACATTGATCATTACATTAATGTTAGGAAACCACCAAATCACTTCCATGACTCGAACACACATTATCTATCCAACTAAAACGTAGTTACACTATTTGAGAAGAATGTATGCTGCAGCAGCCAGCAAATGTGTTATATGATACCGCACAGCAAATCAAATCAAATCAAATTGTATTTGCCACATGCGCCGAATACAACAGGTGTAGACATTACCGTGAAATGCTTACTTACAGCCCTTAACCAACAATGAATTTTTTTTTAAATAAAAAAGTAAAATAAAACAACAACAACAAAAAAGTGTTAGAAAAAAAGAGCAGAAGTAAAATAAAATAACAGTAGGGAGGCTATATACAGGGGGGTACCGGTGCAGAGTCAATGTGCGGGGGCACCGGCTAATTGAGGTAGTTGAGGTAGTTGAGGTAATATGTACATGTGGGTAGAGTTAAAGTGACTATGCATAAATAATTAACAGAGTAGCAGCAGCGTAAAAAGATGGGGTGGTGGTGGGGGGGGCAGTGCAAATAGTCCGGGTAGCCATGATTAGCTGTTCAGGAGTCTTATGGCTTGGGGGTAGAAGCTGTTGAGAAGCCTTTTGGACCTAGACTAGGCGCTCCGGTACTGCTTGCCGTGCGGTAGCAGAGAGAACAGTCTATGACTAGGGTGGCTGGAGTCTTTGACAATTTTGAGGGCCTTCCTCTGACACTGCCTGGTATAGAGGTCCTGGATGGCAGGAAGCTTGGCCCCAGTGATGTACTGGGCCGTACGCACTACCCTCTGTAGTGCCTTGCGGTCGGAGGCCGAGCAGTTGCCATACTAGGCGGTGATGCAACCAGTCAGGATGCTCTCGATGGTGCAGTTGTAGAACTTTTTCAGGATCTGAGGACCCATGCCAAATCTTTTCAGTCTCCTGAGGGGGAATAGGCTTTGTCGTGCCCTCTTCACGACTGTCTTGGTGTGTTTGGACCATGATAGTTCGTTGGTGATGTGGACACCAAGGAACTTGAAGCTCTCAACCTGTTCCACTACAGCCCCGTCGATGAGAATGGGGTGTGCTCAGTCCTCTTTTTTTTTTCTGTAGTCCACAATCATCTCCTCCCTATAGGCTGTCTCATCGGATGGTGTTGGAGTCGTGCCTGGCCATGCAGTCATGGGTGAACAGGGAGTACAGGAGGGGACTGAGCACGCACCCCTGAGGGGCCCCCGTGTTGAGGATCAGCGTGGCAGATGTGTTGTTACCTACCCTTACCACCTGGGGGCGGCCCGTCAGGAAGTCCAGGATCCAATTGCAGAGGGAGGTGTTTAGTCCCAGGATCCTTAGCTTAGTGATTAGCTTTGAGGGCACTATGGTGTTGAATGCTGAGCTGTAGTCAATTAATAGCATTCTCACGTAGGTGTTCCTCTTGTCCAGGTGGGAAAGGGCAGTGTGGAGTGCAATAGAGATTGCATCATCTGTGGATCTGTTGGGGCGGTATGCAAATTGCAGTGGGTCTAGGGTTTCTGGGATAATGGTGTTGATGTGAGCCATGACCAGCCTTTCAAAGCACTTCATGGCTACAGACGTCAGTGCTACGGGTCGGTAGTCATTTAGGCAGGTTATCTTAGTGTCCTTGGGCACAGGGACTATGGTGGTCTGCTTGAAACATGTTGGTATTACAGACTCAGTCAGGGACATGTTGAAAATGTCAGTGAAGACACTTGCCAGTTGGTCAGCACATGCTCGGAGTACACGTCCTGGTAATCCGTCTGGCCCCGCGGCCTTGTGAATGTTGACCTGCTTAAAAGTCTTACTCACATCGGCTACGGAGCGCGTGATCACATAGTCATCCGGAACAGCTGGTGCTCTCATGCATGCTTCAGTGTTGCTTGCCTCGAAGCGAGCATAGAAGTGGTTTAGCTCGTCTGGTAGGCTTGTGTCACTGGGCAGCTCGCGGCTGTGCTTCCTAACCTGCTACAAATAGTCAAGTCTGATGTTAATTGGGAAAAAGCCAGATCCCTTCTAGCGATGACAGGCTGGCCCTGGTGTTTAAGCCAAGCATGATGCCATCCCACAGCCCCTCCCCCTACGATGTCATTTCCCCTGTGATGTCACTCACTACCTCACATCCTCCCATCGGCCTGTCTTACTCCAAACCTTTTCCTAACACCTTTTTCCCAAGAGTTCGAAACCCAGCCCAGCTCTGAATGTACCCCCAGCCATGCCAACATGTATGTGTGTGTGTTTGTGTGTGTAAATACAAATGTGTGTGTGTGTGTGTGTGTGTGTGTGTGTGTGTGTGTGTGTGTGTGTGTGTGTGAGACTGTGTGCCAGGGTTTCCATTAGGAAAATGTGGCACCGGACAACATGACCGACAATCAAAATCACATTTACATTATTGTAATTCATTTTAACAGAATAGAAATTAGCCTGTAAAGTCTTGATAAAATAAAGTAGAACGATGTTCTTATACCAACATGACAGGTTTTATTGAAAAGCAAAACATTGCCCGTTGCATCTTCATCCCTGCTATAAATCACAAATTTAAAATTTAAAAACATTTAGCCTACAAGAACAAGTCGCCTACACAGGAATAAAACACAATTTCATAATATCATATTTGTATAATTTAATTTGCGAATGACTTGACCTGTAGGCTATTTGTATGACATTTTAATTAATAAATAACAAAACACAGCTGTTTTCAAATACAATCTAGGCCTCTCTAATTTAATTTAGCCCCGGCATGAACATTTTAATTAGGCCTAATAAATAACTAAACATGGCTGTCTACTAACACCAGGGCCAGCCTGTCATCGCTAGAAGGGATCTAGCTTTTGCCCAATTAACATCAGACTTGACTATTTGTAGCAGGTTAGGATAACTTATGCAACAGGTTAGCATAATTAATGTGGCAGGTTAGAAGAATTAGGTTAAGGTTAGGAAAAGGGTTAGGGATAGCTCAAATGCAACAAAAAAAGGACAAAAGCTGGATCGCCCCACTCCCCATTCCCGCTGCCATTCAGCACCACAGCAGTGGAAAGAGGACACTCTAGGCGGCCACAAAATGAAGAAATTATAGAACTGATGTTGGACAATCAAATTCGATATGTAAATAAACAAAAATAAGGCTGGTTAATTGAGAGAAAGCTTATTTTACAATGCTCCTCTGAAACGAGGCCTGCACCATGCATTCATGAAAGCACTTATTTCCAAAGTTCAAATGATATATCTCTCTTTTCACAGTTCTACTAGATGCTGTTAATAAATGTTATGCCTATTGTAATTTGAACTATCGTGGACTCGTGTCATGTGTCATGTGTGATATACATGGCTTATTGATAACAACTCTGTTTCCTACTATAGGCAGTTGGCTGCCTAGTGATTGCAACATTGTAACTCTCCGATGTGAATAGTTAGCAATAATGTTTTGTTTCCAAGTGCTACTGAATAAGCTCAACAGAAATGCACCAATTGCGCATGATACATCATTACTCTACTCTAGTCTATCAATCCATTCCAAATATTTATACTATACATGACACAGGGGCAGCATATGTTGATCTTGCCTAGGGCGGCAGCAGAACTGCTAGGACCGGGCCTGACGAACACAATAATTTGCCTCTAATTTACTTGTGTTTGAGGCGGACTTTCGCCTAAAGTGAGCTGCTGCTGTTGGGAAGTCAAAACTGTCCAACTCCTTGGAGCAGCTTGATGTGTATCAGCCTCGTTACTTTGTCCTGGCGCGGTCTTGAGGCAGTCTTTACTCTGTTTTGGAGAAAGTATACGGGGACACTGGAAATGGGAATAATCAAGACAATCTTCGCCAATTTTGCCCAGTCGGGGTACACTTAGCTGAAGTCTCTTATGAGGACCTCGCATCTTTTGCGTGAGTAAAAATACCCGACACTAATTTACAAGCAGCTTAATGGTTTTATTAGCATATGAAGTATATTTGCCTTTGAAGTTGGAGCACATCGACTGGTATTTCCTTCAATTAATAAAAAGCATAATTTTTCAATGGATTTTATCTTTCCTGGACAACTTGGTCGGCAACAATGTTATTTATCAGCTTTTCATATTATTATATTTTGGCCAAAAGCCACCATTTACCGGCTAACAGAAACCCTGCTGCGTGCATCCTGTGTATGTACGTGTGAGAGTGCATGCAAACGTGTGTGTGAGTATGTCTGTGTGCATACATATCTGTGTGTGTAGAGTACATAGGGTCATATTTACTGAAAGCTGCGGCTGAGGCCTGGTACTGGCGGCCCTCTGAGCCTGCGTCCATGGCCAGGTCATAGGAGCCCTCTGGGGCCCCTGCAGCACCGGAGGCCTGGGGCCAGCCCTGCTTCACCAGCAGCACTGTCCCAGACACAGACACAGAGAGATTACACACACACCCTCACACACGTAGAACACAGAGACAGATATAGAAGACAGACATGGATAGATAGTAATAAAACACACACAGCATGCAAATGCACTCACAAAAGCACGCACATAGAGAATACACACAAACAGAGTACACACAGAGTATACAGTACACACCTGGTCGCTAGTGAAAGTCTACACACCCCTTGCACATTCTTCACATTTTGTTTCCTTAAAATTAAATCTAAAAAGGGAATAAATTAAGAGTTTTTTTCTACCGATCTACACAACCTACTCCACATGTTCAAAGTGAAAGAAAACTATATCAAATGTTCTCTTATTGTGGTGGCAGCATCATGTTATGGGTATGCTTGTCACCAGCAGAGACTGGGGAGTTTGTCACGATCAAAATAAATATGAAAGGAGCAAAGACCAGATAAAAATTGAGGAAACCCTGCCTCAGTCTTCTGAAAACCTAACCCTGGGATAGAGTTTTATTTTTCAGCAGGACAAAAACATTTTATGCCAAAGACACACCAGAATGGCTTTCCAATTGGTGTTGAGTGTTCCTGAGTGGTCTAGTCTCAGTCCTGTCTTAAATCTGCTTGAAAATCAGAGACAAGGCATGAATATTGCTGTCCATCAATGACTCCCAACCAGATTTACTTAGTTTGAGCAATTTTGACAAAGACAATGGATATAAAAATCAGCAAAAAAAGAAACGTCCCTTTTTGAGGACCCTATCTTTCAAAGATAATTAGTAAAAATCCAAATAACTTCACAGATCTTCATTGTAAAGGGTTTAAACACTGTTTCCCATGCTTGTTCAATGAACCATAAACAATTAATGAACATGCACCTGTGGAACGGTCGTTAAGACACTAACAGCTTACAGACGGTAGGCAATTAAGGTCACAGTTATGAAAACTTAGGACACTAAAGAGGCCTTTCTACTGACTCTGAAAAACACCAAAAGAAAGATGCCCAGGGTCCCTGCTCATCTGCGTGAAGGTGCCTTAGGCATGCTGCAAGGAGGCATGACGACTGCAGATGTGGCCAGGGCAATAAATTGCAATGTCTGTACTGTGAGATGCCTAAGACAGCGCTACAGGGAGACAGGACGGACAGCTGATCGTCCTCGCAGTGGCAGACCACGTGTAACAACACCTGGACAGGATCGGTACATCCGAACATCACACCTGCGGGACAGGTACAGGATGGCAACAACACTGCCCGAGTTACACCAGGAACGCACAATCCCTCCATCAGTGCTCAGACTGTCTGCAATAGGCTGAGAGAGGCAGGTCCTCACCAGACATCACCGGCAACAACGTCGCCTATGGGCACAAACCCACCGTCGCTGGACCAGACAGGACTGGCAAAAAGTGCTCTTTACTGACGAGTTGCGGTTTTGTCTCACCAGGGGTGATGGTCGGATTCGCGTTTAAGGAATGAGCGTTACACTGAGGCCTGTACTCTGGAGTGGGATCGATTTGGAGGTGGAGGGTCCGTCATGGTCTGGGGCGGTGTGTCACAGCATCAGCGGACTGAGTTTGTTGTCATTGCAGGCAATCGCAACACTGTGCGTTACAGGGAAGACATCCTCCTCCCTCATGTGGTACCCTTCCTGCAGGCTCATGCTGACATGACCCTCCAGCATGACAATGCCACCAGCCATACTGCTCGTTCTGTGCGTGATTTCCTGCAAGACAGGAATGTCAGTGATCTGCCATGGCCAGCGAAGAGGCCGGATCTCAATCCCATTGAGCACGTCTAGGATCTGTTGGATCGGAGGGTGAGGGCTAGGGCCATTCCCCCCAGAAATGTCAGGGAACTTGCAGGTGCCTTGGTGGAAGAGTAGGGTAACATCTCACAGAAATAACTGGCAAATATGGTGCAGTCCATAAGAAGGAGATGCACTGCAGTACTTAATGCAGCTGGTGGCCACACCAGATACTGACTGTTACTTTTGATTTTGACCCCCCCTTTGTTCAGGGACACATTATTCCATTTCTGTTAGTCACATGTCTGTGGAACTTGTTCAGTTTATATCTCAGTTGTTGAATCTTGTTATGTTCATACAAATATTTACACATGTTAAGTTTGCTGAAAATAAACGCAGTTGACAGTGAGAGGTTTCTTTTTTTGCTGAGTTTATGTTGCCCTACGAGTTGTACAAAGTTGGTAGAATCTTATTCCAAATGATTCACAGCTGTAATGGCTGCCAAAGGGTGCTTCCACCAAGTATTAACTCTGGGGCGTTAAGACATACGCAATCAAGACATTTTCATTTTCTTTTTTTTAAAATTCATTTGGAAAATGATCCATAATTGTTATTTTACTTTGAAAATGTGGTGTAGGTTGTGTACATAACATTTTATACATGTTTTGTATTTAATTTAAAGGCAGCAAAATGTGAAGGCTGTGCAAGGGGTGTGTAGGCTTTCATTAGACAATGTATACACACACACAAACAGAGTACACACACACACACACACACAGAGCACAGAAATAGAGTACATACACACAAACAGAGTGCACAGAGTACACACGCTAACACACACATAGAGAATACACACACAGATAAAGAGTACACACACTAACATACACATATAGAATACATAACATTTCACACATTAAACACACTGACATACAAGCATACACACACACACACACACGTACACACATCATTCATCCATTCCATTGTCGAACTTGGGCTTAGTTTCGGACGCATTTTCTCGTGTTTCATGCCTAGGGAACATGACCCAGCCCAGTAACGGCAGTGCTGCAGTGCACTGTAGTGCGACAACATGGCACAGCTCTCACTGACCTACTTCACTCCACTCTCTGATGCCCATCAAACCCTCTGGAGCTCCAGGAGAAATGCAGTAAAACCAGATTCTGCACATAACAAATATGGATCACCACCAACCACAACACAAACTACTAGCTACCAAAGCTAGGGTCAATTCCATTTCAGTTCAGTCAATTCAGGAAGTAAAGTGAAATTCCAGCTCCATTTTTTCTCATAGAGAAGCATTGAGGAAATTTTGAATTGAATACTTGCTGAATTGAAAAGTAATTGACCCCAACCCTAATACCTACCCAACCTTTGATGTGAAGAGATGCATTCCATTGAAACTACATTCATTTATTCTAGCTAGCACAAGGAGATGCTAGAGAGCCCAACACTGCTTCTAGACATCTTAACGACAAACAGTATTACAGTATTTACGGTAATAAAATGCCAAACAACCCCAGGTTATATCACTTTCACTAACTGACAAACATCTCAAGCCATCCTCTAACATCAAAGGGCAATGTAACCACAACCATAGTAAGGCCTACATGTCAGAATCGTTTATCACAATAAAACAGAAAATAAATTCGGAATCATCTTATTAACAGTCGTTCTCAAGGCATTCTCAAGTTCACACCAAAACACAACATTACACGCACACAAAACACACACACGCACACACACATTTCTGGACAGAACGTTCTAGATCACTGTGTGGATACAACATGAACAAAGCCTCTCTAGCAGCTCTACATAAGAGTCCTCAAGGCATTGTGAAGGCTCTGGGGTGAAGTTTCATGTAGGTACAGATCTAGGATCAGCTTCCCCTCACCCAATCTTAACCTTAACCATTAGTGGTGAAAATGTTAAACTGACCCAAGATCAGCGTCTAGGGGAAACTTCTCATGACAATGTCAAGAACCCATTTCCATGAATACTGTGATTATGTGGATCGAGACATTCTTGAGTGCTGTGTAGTGCTGTAAGATATGCACTCAAGAATACGTGTGGAATAGACACATGTAAACAGAGAGGATGTTTGAGTGTGTGTGTGTGTGTGTGTGTGTGTGTATACGTGGTTGTGTGTGTGTGCATGCGGGTGTTTTTACCTTTGAGTAGACTGCACCGCCAATCTGATTCATATAGTGTGTGTTGTATTACATGTGTGCATATTCTTACCTTGGAGGATAGAGTGGACTGCTGGTTTGATCAAACTGTGTGTGTGCTTGTGTGCATGTGTGTGTGTGTGTGCATGTTTGTGCGTGCATGCATTTGTGTGTGTGTGTTCTTACCTGGGGGATAGCCTGGGCTGCCAGTCTGGTAGAGGTTGGGTGTGTAGGTAGGAGCCTGAGGATAACCTGCAGGATAGCCTGAGGACAGAGAACAGAGGCCTTTTAGAACATCATCGCCTGAGGGTGTGTGTGAGTTTGTTTGTGTGTGTGTATATTTGTTTGTTTGTCGTGGTCCTCTGTAGCTCAGCTGGTAGAGCGCGGCGCTTGTAACGCCAAGGTAGTGGGTTCGATCCCCGGGACCACCCATACACAAAAAAAATGTATGCACGCATGACTGTAAGTCGCTTTGGATAAAAGCGTCTGCTAAATGGCATATTATTTATTATTATTATTATTTGTGTGTGTGTGTGTGTGTGTGTGTGTGTGTGTGTGTGTGTGTTTGTTTGTTTGTTTGTTTGTTTGTTTGTTTGTTTGTTTGTTTGTTTGTGTATGTTTGTGCAGCATGGACGTGTGAGTGCATGCAAGTTAATATATGAGTGGATGTGGATGTGTGTGTGTTGTGAGACGGAAGGTCAAAGGTAGGACAGCACAGAGACAGTGTTCCAGAGTGCCTGTGTGGAGGGGATAATCACATGTTATTACTCTATGGAGCCTCCATCTCCCCACATCCCCATCACAGTGATTTACAGTGCAGCCCCACCCTCCTGCACCTGATTCATAAAATATATGGATAGGACACTGCAGTGGATGCAACCCATCCACATACAGTGGGGAGAACAAGTATTTGATACACTGCCGATTTTCCAGGTTTTCCTACTTACAAAGCATGTAGAGGTCTGTCATTTTTATCATAGGTACACTTCAACTGTGAGAGACGGAATCTAAAACAAAAATCCAGAAAATCACATTGTATGATTTTTAAGTAATTAATTTGCATTTTATTGCATGACATAAGTATTTGATACATCAGAAATGCAGAACTTAATATTTGGTACAGAAACCTTTGTTTGCAATTACAGACATCATACGTTTCCTGTAGGTCTTGACCAGGTTTGCACACACTGCAGCAGGGATTTTGGCCCACTCCTCCATACAGACCTCCAGATCCTTCAGGTTTCGGGGCTGTCGCTGGGCAATACGGACTTTCAGCTCCCTCCAAAGATTTTCTATTGGGTTCAGGTTTGGAGACTGGCTAGGCCACTCCAGGACCTTGAGATGCTTCTTACGGAGCCACTCCTTAGTTGCCCTGGCTGTGTGTTTCGGGTCGTTGTCATGCTGGAAGACCCAGCCACGACACATCTTCAATGCTCTTACTGAGGGAAGGAGGTTGTTGGCCAAGATCTTGCGATACATGGCCCCATCCATCCTCCCCTCAATACGGTGCAGTCGTCCTGTCCCCTTTGCAGAAAAGCATCCCCAAAGAATGATGTTTCCACCTCCATGCTTCACGGTTGGGATGGTGTTCTTGGGGTTGTACTCATCCTTCTTCTTCCTCCAAACACGGCGAGTGGAGTTTAGACCAAAAAGCTCTATTTTTGTCTCATCAGACCACATGACCTTCTCCCATTCCTCCTCTGGATCATCCAGATGTTCATTGTCAAACTTCAGACGGGCCTGGACATGCGCTGGCTTGAGCAGGGGGACCTTGCGTGCACTGCAGGATTTTAATCCATGACAGCGTAGTGTGTTACTAATGGTTTTCTTTGAGACTGTGGTCCCAGCTCTCTTCAGGTCATTGACCAGGTCCTGCCGTGTAGTTCTGGGCTGATCCCTCACCTTCCTCATGATCATTGATGCCCCACGAGGTGAGATCTTGCATGGAGCCCCAGACCGAGGATGATTGACCGTCATCTTGAACTTCTTCCATTTTCTAATAATTGCGCCAACAGTTGTTGCCTTCTCACCAAGCTGCTTGCCTATTGTCCTGTAGCCCATCCCAGCCTTGTGCAGGTCTACAATTTTATCCCTGATGTCCTTACACAGCTCTCTGGTCTTGGCCATTGTGGAGAGGTTGGAGTCTGTTTGATTGAGTGTGTGGAAAGGTGTCTTTTATACAGGTAACGAGTTCAAACAGGTGCAGTTAATACAGGTAATGAGTGGAGAACAGGAGGGCTTCTTAAAGAAAAACTAACAGGTCTGTGAGAGCCGGAATTCTTAATGGTTGGTAGGTGATCAAATACTTATGTCATGCAATAAAATGCAAATTAATTACTTAAAAATCATACAATGTGATTTTCTGGATTTTTGTTTTAGATTCCGTCTCTCACAGTTGAAGTGTACCTATGATACAAATTACAGACCTCTATATGCTTTGTAAGTAGGAAAACCTGCAAAATCGGCAGTGTATCAAATACTTGTTCTCCCCACTATAGGTTGGATGTCAGCGATTGTGTGAAGTTGCTGACAGTTTAGATAAGATAAGGTTGAAGTCTCCTGGGTCGTATTCATTAGGGTACCGACTGGAAGAAAACAGACTGAAACGGAGCGACTACCTGAACTTGTCCAATATAAGAAATGCTTGTTTTCATTTTACGTTGCAAAACATTTTGTTGTGTCTTAATGAATACGACACTGGTTCAGTTTGAATGGGATGTATTGAGGTACTTGGTGACTCATAGATTATCTTATTTCAAAGGATATAGGAAGGAAGTGCTTTAGAAGGTGAAATGTGACTTTAGCTCCATTCAGTTTCTTTTTTATCCTGAAAAACTCCCCAGTCCTTAACGATTACAAGCATACCCATAATACGATGCAGCCACCACTATCCATGTAAATATGGAGTGGTACTCAGTAATGTCTTGTATTGGATTTGCCCCAAAGCAACTGAGTTAGGAAGGACACCTGTATCTTTGTAGTGACTGGGTGTATTGATACACCATCCAAAGTGTAATGAATAACTTCAACATGGTCAAAGGGATATTCAGCGTCTGCTACAATAGGTGCCCTTCTTTGTGAGACATTGGAAAACCTCTGTTGTCTTTGTGGTTGAATCTGTGTTTGAAATTCCCTGCTCGACTGAAGGACCTTACAGATGTATATGTGGTAGTCATTCAAAAATCATGTTAAACACTATTATTGCACACAGAGTGAGTCCATGCAACTTATTATGACTTGTTAAGCGTATTTTTTTACTCCTGAACCAATTTAGGCTTGTCATAACAAAGGGGTTGAATACTTATTGACTCAAGACATTTCAGCTTTTCATTTTTTATTAATTTGTTAAACATATATAGATAAACTTTAACATTATGGGGTATTGTGTGTAGGCCAGTGACAAAAAAGCGAGGGGGTGGTTGAGAGGAGGCGAAGGAGGGATGATCATACCGTATTGATCACCATGAGAAATAGAGAATAGTTCAGCAGACACCCATTCAAGTGTGTGTGTGTGTGTGTAAACGTCCATTTGTATACAGCGTGTTTGTGTGCATACACTGGTATGCATGCCTGTGTGTGTGTGTGTGTGTCTGTGTGCATGTATGCCTGTGTATGCGTGCATGTGGTGTATAAACATATGATTGTGTGTGGTGAGGAAGAGAGTTCATTGGAGGACAGGGAGGAGGTGGAACATCAAAGTACTTATCATTCATTTGAACTGTAATGGAACATGAGGTGGCACCATGGAGTCTAAACCTCATTGACAAGAGTTATCTTCTACAGTACTGGACCATGAAGTGGCACCATGGAGTCTAAACCTCATTGACAAGAGTTATCTTCTACAGCGTGAAGAGGCTCCTTCTCCTCTGCACTGCACACTACACTACCTGGCTGTCACTAATCACAGCACTGATATGAGAAGGAAAAAGGGGACTGAAGAGAGACAGGATTGAAGGGAGGGAAAAAAGAAAAAGACAGAGAGGGAGAGAGAAAGAGAGGGAGAGAGAAAGAGAGGGAGAGAGAAAGAGAGAAAGAGAGGGAGAGAGAGAGGGAGAGATAAGAGAGGGAGATGCTCTAGCGAGGGCGACAGATGCCCGAGAAGGGAGAGGAGAAAGAGAGTCGTACATCGAGAGTTCGAATCGTCTCGTCTAGAATGCTGCTACCTTCTCTCTACCGCTCTTTTCCTTCCTCTCCCCTCGCGAGCCCTTTCCTCCCTCTCTTTCTCTCAGGAGAGCTCCCTCCTACACCCCCCCCTCACCCTTCCCCTCTTTTCGCTCCTTGCTCCTCTCATCTCTCTCCCTCTCTTTCGTCGCTCCCTCTGCTGCGCTGCTTATCTCTCCAAAGGGTTAAGAAGGAGGGAGCTAGGAAAACTCGAACCCAATGAGAGGGGTCTAAATCATCCCAGAGACTCCCATCAGAAATCTTCCTAGGACGGAAGAGAGGGAGAGAGATAGAGAGAGCGAGAATAGAACCACACAGCGCCTTCAGAAAGTATTCACACCCCTTGACTTTTTCCACATTTTGTTGTGTTACAGCCTGAATTTAAAATTGATTAAATTTAGATTTTTTTTGTCACTGGCCTACACACAATACCCCATAATGTTAAAGTATATCTATATATGTTTAACAAATTAATAAAAAATGAAAAGCTGAAATGTCTTGAGTCAATAAGTATTCAACCCCTTTGTTATAACAAGCCTAAATAGGTTCAGGAGTAAAATATACACTTAACAAGTCATAATAAGTTGCATGGACTCACTCTGTGTGCAATAATAGTGTTTAACATGATTTTTGAATGACTACCACATATACATCTGTAAGGTCCTACAGTCGAGCAGGGAATTTCAAACACAGATTCAACCACAAAGACAACAGAGGTTTTCCAATGTCTCACAAAGAAGGGCACCTATTGTAGCAGATGCTGAATATCCCTTTGAACATGGTGAAGTTATTCATTACACTTTGGATGGTGTATCAATACACCCAGTCACTACAAAGATACAGGTGTCCTTCCTAACTCAGTTGCTTTGGGGCAAATCCAATACAAGACATTACTGAGTACCACTCCATATTTACATGGATAGTGGTGGCTGCATCGTATTATGGGTATGCTTGTAATCATTAAGGACTGGGGAGTTTTTCAGGATAAAAAAGAAACTGAATGGAGCTAAGGACAGTCAAAATCCTAGAGAAAAACATGGTTCAGTCTGCTTTCCCCCAGACAGAGATTAATTCACCTTTCAGCAGGAAAATAACTTAAAACATGAGGCCAAATCTACACGGTAGTTGCTTACCAAGAAGACAGTGAATGTTTCTGAGTGGTCGAGTTACAGTTTTCACTTAAATCCACTTGAAAATCAATGGCAAGACCTGAAAATGATTGTCTAGCAATGATCAACAACCAATTTGACAGAGCTTGAAGAATTTTGAAAAGAATAATGGGCAAATGTTGCACAATCCAGATGTGGAAAGCTCTTCGAGACTTACCCAGAAAGACTCACAGTTGTAACCGCTGCCAAAGATGCTTCTACAAAGTATTGACTCAGGATTGTGAATACTTATGCAAATGAGATATTTCTGTATTTCATTTTCAATACATTAACAAACATTTCTAAAAACACGTTTTCACTTCATTACGGGGTATTTTGTGTAGATGGGTGATGGGTGAAAATAAATCTATTTAATCCATTTAGAATTTAAGCTGTTACACAACAAAATGTGGAATAAGTCAATGAACAGATGAATCCTTTCTGAAGGCACTGAATGTCTCAGTTAGGTCACACAGAGGGAGCAGATCCACCTAGAGGGAATGTTCTCAATAATTATTACTGGGCATAGAACAAGGCCCTGTCCTCCTCAGTACTCATGACCACTTGTCACCCTAGAGAAAGGCTGAGTCCCAAATGGTACCCTATCCCTATATACAGTAGTGAACGTATTTTGACCAGGGCCCATAGGGTGGAAATCAGATGGAAACTTAAAGGCACACAGCATTTCCTGGAAATTGAAAAGATGGGGTTGGGGAAGATACAGAGAATAGAGGACAATACTTAAAGCTAGTCTAAGAAGCAGTAGATCTGTTTTATGTGCGCTATTTCTATGCTTCCCGTTAAGTTTAGTTTTTGCATCTTTTACTTTCAGTTTTTTACAGCAGCTTCAAACAGCTGAAAATACAATATTTTGGTTATGGAAAATATATTTCACAGGGGTTTAGATGGTACAATGATTTTCTACACAATGCTTATTTTGTCACAAACTGAAATTAGGTAAACTATTTGAATTTTAGCAACCAGGAAATGGCTAAGCAATTTCTGCATATTGCACCTTTAAATAATATACAGTTGAAGTCGGAAGTTTACATACACCTTAGACAAATACATTTAAACTCAGTTTTTCACAATTCCTGACATTTAATCCTAGTAAAATTTCCCTTCCATCAGTTAGGATCACCACTTTATTTTAAGAATGTGAAATGTCAGAATAATAGTAGAGAGAATCATTTATTTCAGCTTTTATTTCTTTCATCACATTCCCAGTGGGTCAGAAGTTTACATACACTCAATTAGTATTTGGTAGCATTGCCTTTAAATTGTTTAACTTGGGTCAAATGTTTTGGGTAGCCTTCCACAAGCTTCCCACAATAAGTTGAGTGAATTTTGGCCCATTCCTCCTGACAGAGCTGGTTTAACTGAGTCAGGTTTGTAGGCCTCCTTGCTCGCACACACTTTTTCAGTTCTGCCCACACATTTTCTATAGGATTGAGGTCAGGGCTTTGTGATGGCCACTCCAATACCTTGACTTTGTTGTCCTTAAGCCATTTTGCCACAACTTTGGAAGTATGCTTGGGGTCGTTGTCCATTTGGAAGACCCATTTGCGAACAAGCTTTAACTTCCTGACTGATGTCTTGAGATGTTGCTTGAATATATCCACATAATTTTCCTTCCTCATGATGCCATCCATTTTGTGAAGTGCACCAGTCCCTCCTGCAGCAAAGCACCCCCACAGGATGACGCTGCCACCCCCTTATTCCTCCAAACATAACGATGGTCATTATGGCCAAACAGTTTTATTTTTGTTTAATCAGACCAGAGGACATTTCTCCAAAAGTACGATCATTGTCCCCATGTGCAGTTGCAAACCATAGTCTGGCTTTTGTTATGGCGGTTTTGGAGCAGTGGCCTCTTCCTTGCTGAGCGGCCTTTCAGGTTATGTCGATATAGGACTTGTTTTACTGTGGATATAGATACTTTTGTACCTGTTTCCTCCAGCATCTTCACAAGGTCCTTTGCTGTTGTTCTGGGATTGATTTGCACTTTTCGCACCAAAGTACGTTCAGCTCTAGGAGACAGAACGCGTCTACTGCCTGAGCGGTATGACGGCTGCATGGTCCCATGGTGTTTATACTTGCGTACTATTGTTTGTACAGATGAACGTGGTACCTTCAGGCGTTTGGAAATTGCTCCCAAGGATGAACCAGACTTGTGGAGGTCTACAATTCTTTTTCTGAGGTCTTGGCAGATTTCTTTTGATTTCCCCATGATGTCAAGCAAAGAGGCACTGAGTTTGAAGGTAGGCCTTGAAATACATCCACAGGTACACCTCCAATTGACTCAAATGATGTCAATTAGCCTATCAGAAGCTTCTAAAGCCATGACATCATTTTCTGGAATTTTCCATGCTGTTTAAAGGCACAGTCAACTTAGTAAACTTCTGACCCACTGGAATTGTGATTAATTGTGTCATGCACAAAGTAAATGTCCTAACCAAATTGCCAAAACTATAGTTTGTTAACAAGAAATTTGTGGAGGGGTTGAAAAATGAGTTTTAATGACTCCAACCTAAGTGTATGTAAACTTCCGACTTCAACTGTAGAAGATAAATATTTACTTGATGTTAGGCAGCCTATATGGAAAATAAGAGGTTGGGAAGATATGGGATATGGGAGAAAGGGGAAAATATTTACTGAAGGTTAGGCAGGCCTACTGTATATATTATATATAAATGGGGGAAAAAATAGTAATTATATAATTGGTATGACTATGAATTGTACTGATAACATAGCAATCACACTAAAACAAAGTAGCCTATTATTGGAAATAACAAAGCATGCAGGAGCAGCCTGTGTGTGTGTGTGTGTGTGTGTGTGTGTATCTCAATTCTGAGGCTACACACCACCCACGCAGCCAGATCTGACCGACCGACCGCCCACACATACACACACACACACACACACACACACAGAGCCAGACCCCACGCCTCACTAATTAGCCTCCGTATTTATGGAACAGTGTGACTGTGGACTAATTGTGAGCAAAAGAGAAGCAGCCTGAGACAATTAGGGAGAGAGAAGAGGGAGGGAAGAACAGAGGAACGGAGGAATGGAGGGAGGGAGGAAACGGAGGGAGGGACGGAGGAACGGAGGGAGGGATGGAGGAACAGAGGAAGGGAGGAACGGAGGGAGGGAGGAACGGAGGGAATAACAGAGGGAGGAACGGAGGGAGGGGAGGAACGGAGGGAGGGAGCAATGGAGGGAGGAATGGGGGGAGGGAGGGAGGAACGGAGGGAATAAAAGAGGGAGGGAGGAACGGAGGGAGGGGAGGAACAGAGTGGAGGGAGGATGGAGGGAGGTAGGAACGGAGGAATGGAGGGAGAGATGGAGGGAGGAAGGGAGGGAGGACCGGAGGGAGGTAGGGAGGGAGGGAAGAACAGAGAGAGGGAGGGAGGGAGGGATCCCTACTATCAGCAGTATCTGAGATGCACCTGCTGCTCGCCGGTAGCTCACCTGTGTTCCCTATAAATGTTGTTTTGAATTAATAAGATTTGTACCAACACACTGAAGAAAGCTGCAACGTCTGTGTTACCTATCCCTGATGCAGTGAAAGATAATAATAATTAAGTAAGCTTTATGCAACATCTTTTGGAGTGCGGACCCATCACACTTTTTTGCTTATCTGAATATATGGGTTTTACGCAACAACCAACATTTTGGGACAGCGCGACAGTCCTCATTTAATTAGCAGTATCTGAGATGACATGGAGGGGGCCCCAACCGCACTCCTTTGGTCTGCTGTCCCCAGGATGTGTGTGTGTTTGTGTGTGTATGCTCCTGCGTGTGTATCCCCCGGCCTCCCGCCACACAGACTCCATCACACAAGGCTACTGCAACCACTGCAGGCGTCTGTCCTTTCTCTTAACTCTCTGATCAGCTGCAGCCTAAGGATGAGCAGCAATGCATTGTGGGTATGAAGAAGCGACAAGAGAGAAATAATAATAATATAACATGCCATTTAGCAGACGCTTTTATCCAAAGCGACTTACAGTCATGTGTGCATACATTTTTACGTATGGGTGCTCACGGGGATCGAACCCACTACCCTGGCATTACAAGCGCCATGCTCTACCAATTGAGCTACAGAGGACCACTGAGAGCTAAGGGCACCTTAAAAATAAACTCCCTCTTATCAAAGCCGGCGCTGTGGTAACAGCTTGGCCAATGAATCACTAGCCGAGTGGCAGTAACGGGCTCTGCCACCTCGAGCCAGCGGAGGAAAGCACCACCAGTGTAATCACATTTCTATTTCCACACTCTATGTCCTCTTCTCCTCTTCCCTTTTCTTGTCTTCCTGCCTTCTCTTTTTCCGCCTGTCTTTGTACACGCCATGTGAATACTCAATTTTCACACAGACAGATCATTCAATGCATAGACTCATCTAGTGGTGAATGCACTCATAGCCGCGGGAAGTAGTTTGGGGGTGGGGGTAGGGGTGTATCATCTATATTGGTCCCCTAATACAGGACTAGTACAGGCCCAGTGCATTACTTTTGTGAAAGAATGTAAATGTATTTGAGTGTTTACCAGCATTTGTAACTTTAGTCTGATAATTATCTGTACAAAACAGTTTATCTGATAATACTTGTGGAATATAAAAATACTTGCTTGGTATACAGTATGTTTTCCAGTTTCTTTAAATACTTTGCAAATGCAACTTATTTCTATGTGAAAGCTGAAATCGTCTATTCATTCCTTTCCCATTTTATCCAGAGCAACTTACCGTAGTGAGTGTTGACATTTTCATACTTGTCCCCCGTAGGAATCGAACCCACAACCCTAGCATTACAAGCACCATGCGCTACCAACAGAACCACATCATCACATCAGTACAAACCACTTGACGTCTCAATGTACTCAATTACTGTATTGTGCATTGTTTTCTTCATGGTGATGGAAGTCTACAGGTACAAACCTAGATGACCAGCTTCTATATCGTCCGCTAATACTAGTTAAGGCCCAGTGCACTACTTTTGTGAAAAAATAAGTTTGTGTCAGCGGGGACACCTCAAATGCTGTACTGCTCTTGTAAAACAAAACAAAACTGTATCTCCATTGTAAACCCAGTCATGATGATGACAGGAGAGAAGATTCAAAGCAACTGAAATGAATTAAAGCACAAAAGAGAATACAAGTCATTTCAGTTATTGCCAAGTAATTTCAGTTATTGCAGACGTGAGACAACGAGAGCAGGGAAAGGATGTGGAGGAAATACATAGGTGATGTAACACATTGTCACGCCCTGGCTCTGGGGACTATGTTATGTTGAGCCAGGGTGTGTAAGTCTATGTTTTGTATATCTAGGTTGGCCTTAGTGACTCCCAATCAGAGGCAACGAGTGTCAGCTGGTTGTCTCTGATTGGGAGCCATATTTAACTATCGGTCTTTTCACTTTGTGTTGTGGTTTCTTGTTCCTTTTGGTTTGTGTGTATCGAAGGACTTCACGTTTCGTTCGTTGTTTTGATCGGGTGATCTGTTTAATAAATAATATGTACGCATTCAACGCTGCGCATTGGTCCTCCTCCTTAAGCGAACGTGACAGAAGAAACCACCAAAAATGGACCAAGCAGCGTGAAGAGGAGAGAGGAAGGACCTGGGATCAGGGGAGTAGGAGTTTCGGCTGGGCCACGCTAAGTGAAGAGGAGAGAGGCTGGTCTATGAAGCAATGGATCGAGAGTCTGGCGAGAGCTAGGGAGGCCTGGTCCACGGGGAGGAGAGAACCCCAGAAAATTTTTAGGGGGGGGCTCACGACGTGGACGACGGGGCAGCAGGAGGCCGCGATGGAGCGGTCCAGCGGGTGTGAAGAGGAGGCCGCCAGGTTAAGGGGGCCACTGGTCACAGAGGAGAGGGAAAGTGTGGAGGCACGGCGAGAGGTACTGGGGTGTATTACCAGTCCGGTCCGGCCCGTTCCTGATCCCTGCATAGGGCCAGTGGCGTGTGTCCCCAGTACGGTTCGGCCTGTTCCTGCCTCTCGCACCGAGCCTGTGGTGCGCGTCGTCAGCCCTGTCCGGCCCGTTCCTGCTCTCCGTACCAAGTCGGTGGTGCGCGTCGCCAGCCCGGTCCGGCCCATTCCTGCTCTCCGCACCAAGTCTGTGGTGCGCGTCGCCAGCCCAGTCCGGCCCATCCAAGCTTCCCGCTCCAAGCCAGTGGTGTGCGTCGTCAGTCCGGCACGGCCCGTTCCTGCTCTCCGCACCAAGTCTGTGGTGCGCGTCGCCAGCCCAGTCCGGCCCATCCAAGCTTCCCGCACCAAGCCAGTGGTGTGCGTCGTCAGTCCGGCACGGCCCGTGCCTGCTCTCCGCACCAAGTCTATGGTGCGTTTCGTCAGCCCTGTCCGGCCCGTTCCTGCTCTCCGTACCAAGTCTGTGGTGCGCGTCGCCAGCCCAGTCCGGCCCATCCAAGCTCCCCGCACCAGGTCAGTGGTGCGCGTCGTCAGCCCGGTCCGGCTCATTCCTGCTCCCCGCACCAAGTCAGGGGTGCGCTTCGTCAGCCCGGTCCGGCCCGTTCCTCCTCCACGCATCAAGCCAGGGGTGTGCGTCGTCAGTCCAGCACAACCCGTGCCTGGGTCATGTCCGGAGCCGGATCCGCCGCCGAGGCGGAGTGCCCACCCGGTCCCTCCCCTGTTGTGGTTGTTTGGCGCGGCCGGAGTCCGCGCCTTTGGGGGGGGGTACTGTCACGCCCTGGCTCTGGGGACTATGTTATGTTGAGCCAGGGTGTGTAAGTCTATGTTTTGTATATCTAGGTTGGCCTGAGTGACTCCCAATCAGAGGCAACGAGTGTCAGCTGGTTGTCTCTGATTGGGAGACATATTTAACTATCGGTCTTTTCACTTTGTGTTGTGGTTTCTTGTTCATTTTGGTTTGTGTGTATCGAAGGACTTCACGTTTCGTTCGTTGTTTTGATCGGGTGATCTGTTTAATAAATAATATGTACGCATTCAACGCTGCGCATTGGTCCTCCTCCTTAAGCGAACGTGACACACATATAATTAAATAGAGCATCATCCACTCTAGTAAATTATATATCTCTATGACGTAACTAAACAGTATAAGAACATGATCGAACGCATCTTATGCTCTACATAGGCCTTGCCGAATGGGCCAAGAGATTTTAAGAGAGTACCTGCCACTGTATTGGTATGGTATTGCTGGTTGTTTTTGTTGTTGTTGTTTTGGCACTCACCTGCGTATGCCATGTTCTTGGGGTTCCCGTACGGTGTCCCGGGCTGGACAGGACTGTACACAGGATTCATGTCGGAAGACAGTCTACCCTTACTGCAGGGAGAACAGACAGACAGACAGAGAGAGAGAGAGAGAGAGAGAGAGAGAGAGAGAGAGAGAGAGAGAGAGAGAGAAGAGAGTAGAGAAGAGAGAGTAGAGAGAGAGAAGAGAGTAGAGAGTAGAGAAGAGAGAGTAGAGAGAGAAGAGAGTAGAGAAGGAAGAGAGTAGAGAGAGAAGAGAGTAGAGAAGAGAGTAGAGAAGAGAGAAGAGAAGAGAGTAGAGAGAGAGAGAAGAGAGTAGAGAGAGAGAAGAGAGAGAGAGAGAGAGCAAAACAGAGAGAGAGACATGAACATTTGGTGAGACGAAAGACATGGCTTTCAATAGTTATTAATTGAGGATATGCATAAGCTCAGAGGTCCCCATCTTGGAAGTGTTCCATAGTCAGCTTGAAGACATTTGACGTCTGCAAAACTAAACTGTACTCCACAAACAAATTATTTTTGCTGGTTGAAAGTCATCCAGGAGAAAATGTCAAGCACACAATACAAGGCACAGATCTGGGGAAGGGTACCAAAAAATGTCTGCAGCAGTGAATGTCCCCAAGAACACAGTGGCCTCCATCATTCTTAAATGTAAGAAGTTTGGAACCACCAAAACTCTTCCTCGAGCTGGCCACCCAGCCAAACTGAGCAATCGGAGGAGAAGGGGTCAGGGAGGTGACCAAGAACCTGATGGTCACTCTGACAGAGCTCTAGAGTTCCACAGAAGGACAACCATCTATGCAGCACTCCACCAATCAGGCCTTTATGGCACCATCCCTACGGTGAAGCATGGTGGTGGCAGCTTCATGCTGTGGGGATGTTTTTCAGCGGCAGGGACTGGGAGACTAGTCAGGATCGAGGGAAAGATTAACGGAGCAAAGTACCGAGAGATCCTTGATGAAAACCTGCTCCAGAGCACTCAGGACCTCAGACTGGGGCGAAGTTTCACCTTCCAACAGGACGACAACCCTGAGCACACAGCCAAGACAACGCAGGAGAGGCTTCGGGACAAGTCTGTGAATGTCCTAGAGTGGCCCAGCCAGAGCCCGGACTTGAACCCGATCTAACATCTCTGGAGAGACCTGAAAATAGCTGTGCAGAGACGCTCCCCATCCAACCTGACAGAGCTTGAGAGGATCTGCAGAGAAGAATGGGAGAAACTCCCCAAATAAAGGTGTGCCAAGCTTGTAGCGTCATACCCAAGAAGACTTGAGGCTGTAATCACTGCCAAAGGTGCCAAAAGTACTGAGTAAAGGGTCTGAATACTTATGTAAATGTGATATTTCAACAACAAAAAATTATACATTTGCAAACAAACAGTTCTAAAAACCTGTTTTTGCTTTGTCATTATGGGGTATTGTGTGTAGATTGATGAGGAAAATGTTTTATTTAATCAATTTTAGAATAAGGCTGTAACGTAACAAAATGTGGAAAAAGGGAAGGGGTCTGAATACTTTCCGAATGCACTGTATACTGAACAAAAATATAAACGCAACATGTAAAGTGTTGGTCCCATTTTTCATGAGCTGAAATAAAAGATCCCAGAAATTTTCCATACGCACAAAAAAGCTGATTTCTCTCAAATTGTGCACAATTATTTTTTTTACATACCTGTTAGTTAGCGTTTCTCCTTTGCCAAGATAATCTATCCACCTGACAGGTTTGGCATATCAAGAAGCTGATTAAACAGCATGATCATTACACAAGTGCACCTTGTGCTGGGGACAATAAAAGGCCACTCTAAAATGTGCAGTTTTGTCACACAACATAATGCCACATATGTCTCACATTTTGGCTGCAGGAATGTCCACCAGAGCTGTTGCCAGAGAATGACATGTTGATTTCTCTACCATAAGCCGCCTCCAACGTCATTTTAGAGAATTTGGCAGTACATCCAACCGGCCTCACAACCGCAGACATCGTGTAACCACGCTAGCCCAGGACCTTCACATCCGGCTTCTTCACTTTCTTATACCGTCTTATACCAGCCACCCGGACAGCTGATGAAACTGAGGACTATTTCAGTGGGTGGGCCTGGCTCCCAAGTGGGTGGGCCTATACACACCCATGGCTGCGCCCCTGCCCAGTCATGTGAAATCCATAGATTAGGGCCTAATGAATTTCTTTCAATTGACTGATTTCCTTATATGAACGATAACTCAGTAAAATCGTTGAAACTGTTGCATGTTGCGTTTATATTTTTGTTCAGTATACATTACATAGGCTGGTTTGCTGACAGGTTTGTCGATTTTCCATCACCAAACAGAAAAACAATGCCCAATAGAAATACGGAAAGGTGAATACAATGGAGGAACACAACTGATATGAATGGATTGGCCTAAATTCACACCAAAGCAAACCTCTAAAATGGAAGGTCACAATGTTGGAGATGACTACTTAGAAGTAACCCAACTTCATTTTCTGCATCTGTGCATGCAATGTTGTCAGAAATCATAAAAATTAGACAGTCCCCATTGCCTAGATCTTTCCCTATATTGTACATGAATTTGCACTGATGGAATGATTTCGAACTTTGTGCACTAGTATTTACTGATTGCTGGAGACAGCAGACACATTTGCACACATTTCTCTTCTGATGAAAACATTTTTTTTATATTCTAGAAACAAAACACTTGACAGTGAATTTTGTATTCACTAATGAGGCAAGAAAGTGATCAGAAGTTTGGCAAGTGTATTAAGGCATTTGATCATTGTTGTTCTTCTGTAGATACATTTGACCCCAGAAATTTGATTGAGGAAAAACGGTAATAGCCAAGAAACAGCTGCAGATAGAGAGATAGAGAGATAGAGAGATAGAGAGCGCTTAAAGAAAAGAAGAGCAAAAGGAATGGACTGATAAGAGAGGAGTTCACAGATGGATGGGTTGTGTGTGTGTGTGTGTGTGTGTGTGTGTGTGTGTGTGTGTGTGTGTGTGTGGGGAGTATAAACAAAAAATAAACGAAGAGAGAGTCAGATACAAGAAGATGACTGACAAACGACAGAATAAAAAGACATCACATGATGGACAGATGGTGTAGGAAGAGAGGTGACAATGGAATATTGAACTGGACAGATTAGATGGGATGATGGATGGATGCATGGAGGTGGTGAGAAGAAGGGATGAGGAACTGATGGAGTGGTATAATAAAGAGTGAGTATTTACGACTGGTTAAGGAAAGTCCAGGAAAGCAGACATATATCTACACTGAGTGTACAAAACATTAAGAACACCTTCCTAATATTGAGTCATATCCCTCCAACCACCCCACCGTTTGCCCTCAAAATAGCCTCAATTCGTCGGGGCATAGACTCTACAAGGTGTCGAAAGCGTTCCACAGGGATGCTGACCCATGTTGACTAAAATGCTTCCCACAGTTGTGTCAAGTTGGCTAGATGTCCTTTGGGTGGTGGACCATTTTTGACACACACAGGAAACTGTTGAGCATGAAAAACCCAGCAGCATTGCAGTTCTTGACACAAACCAGTGCTCCTAGCACCTACTACCATACCCCGTTCAAAGGCACTTAAATATTTTGTGGTACACATACACAGTTCATGTCTCCATTGTCTCAAGGCTTAAACATGATTATTTAACCTTTCTCCTCCCCTTCATCTACACTGATTGAAGTGGATTTAACAAGTGACATCAATAAGGGATCATAGCCTTCACCTGGTCAGTCTGTCATGGAAAGAGCAGGTGTTCTTAATGATTTGTACACTCAGTGTATTTACTACATTGGCCATATACTGCACATATATATTGACCAATTACAAATATATGGGCCATATACAACACATACACTACCAGTCAAAAGTTTGGACACACCTACTCATTCAAGGGTTTTTCTTTATTTTTACTATTTTTTACATTGTATAATAATAGTGAAGACATCAAAACTATGAAATAACACACATGGAATCATGTAGTAACCAAAAAAGTGTTAAACAAATCAAAATATATTTGATATTTGAGATTCTTCAAATAGCCACCCTTTGCCTTGATGACAGCTTTGCACACTCTTGGCAACTCTCAATCAGCTTCATGAGATAGTCACCTGAAATGCATTTCAATTAACAGGTGTGCCTTCTTACGAGTCAATTTGTGGAATTTCTTTCCTTCTTAATGCGTTTGAGCCAATCAGTTGTGTTGTGACAAGGTAGGGGGGGTATACAGAAGATAGCCCTATTTGGTAAAAGATCAAGTCCATATTATGGCAAGAACAGCTCAAATAAGCAAAGAGAAACAACAGTCCATCATTACTTTAAGACATGAAGGTCAGTCAATACGGAAAATCTCAAGTACTTTAAAAGTTTCTTCAAGTGCAGTCACAAAAATGAGGACCGCCACAAGAATGGGAGACCCAGAGTTACCTCTGCTGCAGAGGATAAGTTCATTAGAGTTACCAGCCTCAGAAATTGCAGCCCAAATAAATGCTTCACAGAGTTCAAGTAACAGACACATCTCAACATCAACTGTTCAGAGAAGACTGTGTGAATCAGGCCTTCATGGTCGAATTGCTGCAAAGAAACCACTACTAAAGGACACCAATAAGAAGAAGAGACTTGCTTGGGCCAACAAACACGAGCAACGGACATTAGACAGGTGGAAATTCGTCCTTTGGTCTGGAGTCCAAATTGGAGATTTTTGGTTCCAACCGCCGTGTATTTGTGAGACGCGGTGTGGGTGAACGCATGATCTCCGCATGTGTATTTCCCACGGTAAAGCATGGAGGAGGAGGTGTTATGGTGTGGGGGTGCTTTGCTGGTGACACTGTCCGTGATTTATTTAGAATTCAAGGCACACTTAACCAGTATGGCTACCACAGCATTCTGCAGTGATACGCCATCCCATCTGTTTTTTTGCTTACTACATGATTCCATATGTGTTATTTCATTGTTTTGAAGTCTTCACTATTATTCTACAATGTAGATAATAGTAAAAATAAAGACAAACCCTGGAATGAGTAGGTGTGTCCAAACTTTCGACTGGTACTGTATATTGGCCATATACAA